TCAGACCTTTACGAGGCAGAGCGCAAGGGAGTTTACCCCTACGAATACATGGATTCCTGGGAGCGATTTCAAGAACCCCTTCCGCCGAAAGAGCGCTTCTACAGCTCCCTAAACGAGGCTGGAATGTCAGACGAAGAGTACGAGCACGCAAAGAAGGTTTGGAAAAAGCACGACTGTAAGAACATGGGAGATTACCACGACGTGTATTTGCTTTCAGATGTAGTCCTATTAGCCGACGTATTTCAAAGCTTTCGAAAGATGGCGATGTCTTACTACGGAATAGACCCAGCAAACTTCTACACCGCCCCTGGGTTATCTTGGAGTGCCCTGTTAAAGAGCACCAACGCCCAATTAGACCTCTTAACAGACTACGAAATGTACAGATTTATGGAGGACGGAATTCGCGGTGGGGTTTGTGGRCCATCGAGGCGATTTGCGCGCGCCAATAACCCACAAGTTGAGGGGCACGACCCCGAGAAACCATCCACGTATATCTTTTACCTAGATGCGAACAACCTTTACGGCTGGGCGATGTCCCAACATTTGCCAGTGCGCGACTTTGAATGGACTGAGCCACGCGCACCGGAGTTTTACATGCAAATAAGACACGACAGCCGTAAAGGCTTTATCCTTGAGGTGGATTTGGAATACTCAGAACACCTTCACGACCTTCACGACGATTACCCATTAGCACCCGAGGCAATTGAGATACCCTTTGAACAACTCTCCCCGTTACAGAAGAAACTTTGCCCCACGTACAAGCCATACCGCAAGCTTACCATGAACCTAATGGACAAAAAGAAGTACGTGGTTCACTACCGCAACCTTCAATTTTACGTACGCCACGGAATGCGCGTGACMAAGGTGCACCGCGCCCTGAAGTTCCGTCAGGAGCCCTGGATGCAGCCCTACATTGACTTTAACACGCAAAAGCGAACCGCGGTAAAGAACGACTTTGAGAAGAATCTCTTTAAGTTAATGAACAACTCCGTATTTGGTAAGACCATGGAGAACATTCGCAAGCGCGTTTCCATAAAGATCGTAAATACGCAGGAGGAAGCAGAGGCCTACGTATCTCAGCCAGGCTTCGTACGCTACGTAGACATGCTAAACTTCTTCGTAATACACATGAAGAAGGCAAACCTATTCCTCAACAAGCCTGTATACACCGGCTTTACCGTGCTGGAGCTGTCTAAACTTCTGATGTACGAGTTTTACTACGACAAACGTAAACCAAAGTACGGCGATAAATGCCGCCTCCTATACACCGACACCGACTCCCTAATAATGGAGATAGAAACCCCCGACGTCTACGCGGACTGCCTCGAAGACATTGACGAGTACGACACCTCGGGCTACCCACGCGACCATCCACTGTACTCTGCGAAGAACAAGAAGGTCATCGGGAAGATGAAAGAGGAGATGCTGGGCAAGCCCATCGTGGAATACGTGGGTCTCAAACCCAAAATGTACAGCGTCCTAAAGACAGACGGCGCAGACAAGAAAGCCAAGGGCGTAAAAAAATACGTAGTCAAGAAGGACATAACCCATCAGTCCTACATTGACGTCCTACGCACGCAGAAGACGCAGAAGCATCGGATGAACTCCCTGCGGTCCTTTAAACATCAAATACACAACGTCACCCAAGAGAAGGTGTCGCTGTCAGCATTTGACGGTAAGAGGTGGATG